AAAGGTGTTTAAAACCAGGGTGTTATTCCTTCACCATACTTCATTGATCTGTATGTTGAGCAAATCATCAAAAAACTGCATTACATGAAAAAGAGTGTGGCATGAAAATTTGAAGAGGAGTTATTAACAATCCAAATATGCCACATATACGAATTACACAACATTTCTTGCTGAAAGCAAAAAGGACTTAAAATAGTTACTGATGAAGATCAAATATCACAACCTTCAGTATGGTTTTTACCTCAATGTAAATGAAACAAAAATCCTCACAAGTGGACAGCCAAATAATATTAAGATAAATGGATAAAAATTGAAGTGGTCAAAAACTTCACTTTGTTCGTAACAACACTCTTGGAAGCAGCAGATTTTGAACTATATGGACGTATTGCACTAGAAAATTAGGAAAAGAGGCACAAGACCTCTTTAAAGTGTTCAAGAGCCAAGGCATCATTTTGAGTAATAAGGTATGTCTAACACAAGCCAGATCAGGTGACGTATTGCATTAGGTAAATCTGCTGCACAGGAACTTTTTAAAGTGTTAAAGAGCAAAGGTGTCAGCTTGAGGACTAAAGTGTGCCTGACCCAAGCCATGATATTTTTTAATAACCTCATATGGATGCGAAAGCTGGACAGTGAATTAGGAAGATCATAGAAGAGTTGATGCCTTGGAATTATGGTGTTGGAGGAGAATACTAAATACTAAATGGGCTGCCAAAAGAACCAATAGATCTGTTTTGAAGAAGTGCAGCCAGAGTGCTCCTTAGAGGCCAAGATGGCCAAACTTCGTCTCTCATACTTTGGACATATTGTCAGGAGGGAACAGTCGCTACAGAAGGATATCATGTTTGGTAAGATGGAGGGTCAGAGAAAAAGGGGAAGACGCCCAATGCGATGGATTGGCCAGGTGGTAGCATAAATGGACTCAAGTGTGGCAACAGTAGTGAGGTTGGTCCAGGATCGGACATTGTTTCGTTCTGCTGTGCATAGGGTCACTGTGAGTTGGTGTCAACTCGATGGTACCTAACAAGAACAACAAAAACACAAGCCAGCGTGGTACTGTGGGTTAAAATATCAGACTGCAAAGCCATTTGAACTGCTAGGTAGGCAGTTCAAGCTCTCCAGCTGCTCCTCAGAAACCCTATACTGGGTCACTATGGATTGGAATCAACTCGAAGGCACTTAACACCATCAACAAAGCCAGTGGAGTGGTGCTGTGGGCTAATGTGTCAGACTGCAAAGTCATTTGAACTGCATGATGGGTGGTTCGAACTCAAGAGCCACTCCTTGGAAACAATATACAGGAACTCTATGGGTCTAAATCAACTGCAAGGCACTTAACAACTACAATACAAGCCATTGTATTTTCAATAGCCTCATAGGCATGTGAAAGAATAACAATGGATAGAAGGACCCAGAAGAATTGACACATTTAAATCATGGAAAAGAACATTGTAAGTCCCTGAACTGCCAGAAAAACAAACAAATCTGTGTTTGAAGAACTACAGCTAGAACACTCCTAAGTTGCATGAAGGGGAGAATTCTCTCATACTTCAGATATATTATCAGGAGAAACCATCATGTTTGGTAAAGGTGAGGGTCATAACAAAAGAGGAAGACCCTTAGTGGCAGTGGCAGCAACAATGGGCTCAAACATAACAATTGTGAAGATGGTATAGGATGGTATACTTCCTGGGAAATGTTCTGGTCCATTGTGCATAGGATCAGTGTGAGTCAGAACTGAGTCAATGATATCTAACAACAACAACAACCTCCAGAAGACTGTCATTTGACCTTCTGATCTTAATTAAGTTCATCAGATCCTGCAGCTATGTGAGTCAGTAGAAGCTTCCATGTGACATTTCATCTGCAGGTTTGGAACTTGTCTGCTACTGTATCTGTGTGAGTCAACTCCTTAATATAATTCTGATTATCTCTCTCTTCATAGATTTTCCTTCACTTGTTTTGATTCTCTAGAGAACCTAGCCTAAGATAGACTCATATCCCATAGAGGTCTATAATTTTTTGATTCCCACGATAGGGTAGTATTCTTTAATTCTTGACCTACATGGATTAGTGTTTATTCAGTGAACTTTAGGAAGATTTCCCCAGGGACACCCAAAGAAAAAACATAAAACATGTAACGTTTTACATCAGAGCATCTTCAGAAAGGGGAAGCTATGTCTATCCTACTGGTAGGTGGTTTGGATTACAGTCTGGTATTTGGAAATGTACATGAATGATATGTTTTGGAATATGAAATTTTAACATTTTTCATGTGGGCAATTCAGTATGTGGGAAAAAGGGGACTTCATGAGGGGGAGGGTGTAGGATTAAACAGATTCTTTTAAATTGATATTTTAGCCCTCTCTACCTTAAAGAATATTTTAAGGAAATACATGTTTGGATCACCACTTTATAAAAATGTCTTTCTCTTTGACTATTAACAGACAATCTGGAAAGGTAAATGGGAACATTTTATCTGCATACCTAGTATTCTATCATAGATGAGAACAATAAGAATGTAAATATTCTTGTTTCCTCTTCCTCCTCTCAAACTAAATCTCCCCACAGAATGAGTGAAGACTTCACACATGGAGATTCTCCTGAGTGTCTTCTTAACAGCAGAGATGGCATTAAAGGGTCCTCCAGTCTGTTCACGGCATGAGAGACACGTGAACAACCTTTGAAGCAGAGCAGACAATTACTTGACTTTGTGCAAAACAACTTGAAATGCTGATCTAAGACAGAATTTATTTGCTTTGAGATTATCAGTATTTGGACAAGATAATTCTTTTATTGTTGGATTATCAGTATTTAGACAAGAGCATTCTTTATTTTGGGGTTGGGAAATGTCCTGAGCATTGCAGGGCATTTAGTAGCATCACTGGCAGCCACCCACTAAATGCAAATAACACCCCACCTCCTTGTTACGACAAGAAAATGTCTCTTGTTGTTTGCCATGGAGTTGGTTTCAATTCCTAATGAACCTGTATCATGTTTCTGAGCCTGTGAATCTTTACAGAAGAAGAAAGACTCATTTTTAGCTACTGTTAGATTCAAACCGTTGACACTGTGATTAACAGCACAACATGTAACTCAATTTGCTATCAATGCTCTAGACATCACTGAATACCTGTGGGTATCAAACCATTCAGTTTAGAATCACTATTCATTGGGGAATCAATAACATGTCTTTTCAACTTTAGAACTAAAAACAATAAAAACGACTAGATTGAAGGCAGCAATAGTACTACTTTCTGGTCATGGTAGAGAAAACTAGATATTAAACTCATTCCTTGCCTTTACTAGAATTTCTTAAAATAACTTTCATCTTGCTAAATCTAGTTGAAGGATAGGGAAAATATCTGGTTGTGTTGGTTTCTACTCCAAATTTTCCTCCCTCAAGTAATACCCTAGACATACCTCTACAATATTGTATGTTTTTATTAAATGGTGAAGAGAAGAAATTAGATATTTCTTTCCCTCTGTTTGTCTTAGATATGCGTCTTAGTCTTTGAAGTCAACTGTCATTCATGAAAAAACAACTTGCTCTCCTCCTCCCCCACCTTGTAATATTTATGATTTACATTAATCTAGTCCAGTTATACATTTTCTTAAAAATAAATATGGTGAGGATAAAAGAACTTGTGTATGCAGATGTAATATTCAGCCTATGCAATTCATTTTTCAATTTGATATTTTGTCAGTCATTTTTCATATCATTGGGAAATCTTCCAAAAAAATGTATAAACTGCATTATATTTGCATGCCGTAATTTTCCTGTCCCTTTTGTTTGACACTTCAGTTGCTTCTAAGTTTTGTCATTAAAAGTAATAGTGCAATGTAATAGTAGACATTTTGGTTAACTACTACCAATCTGCATCTTTGACCAAGTTCATAGGCTCCATATAATAAACACCAGACTGCAAACCACAAGGTCCACAACTTGAACTCTCCAGTCACTTCACGGAAGAATGATAAGGCTTTCTATTCCCTCAAATTAAAAACAAAACAAAACAAAACAAAAACCTTGGAAACCCTATACAGGGTTGCTAGGAGTCAGAACTTGAAGGCATTTAACAACACAAAAATAACATCTTTGATTAATTCTTCCAATAGATTCAAGGCAGGTCTTGCTAAATATGTCTTGCCATGGATATATGTTGTTTGTGTTAAGTGCAGTCAAGTCAGTTCTGACCCATAGTAACCCTGTACAGAATTTCTGAGGAGCGACTAGTGAGTTTGAACACCTGACCTTGCTGTTCAAACCAACATTGTAGTTGAGTGCCTTTCCTACAGTATCACACCAGGTCTCCAGAAAATTAATATTTGAAAATATGCATTCCCATTCATTAGAGAATGTTTTAAGAAAATTCATGTTTGGACACTGCTCAATGAAACATCTTTCTCTTTTGACAATTAACAATCTAGAAAGTTAAATGGGAACACTTTAATTTGCCAAAAAAAGATTCTGTCATAGATATTAGCATGAGAACAAGAAACTTTCCCCTAGGCAAATATTTTGAGGCCCACCATTTTCCTGAGAGCTTCTTTCAGAACCATGTTCCTCAGGCTATAGATTAGGGGGTACAGCATGGGAATCAACACCATGACTTTCTTGTCTCTGTCCAGACTGCTGCCAGAGTTGGGCCATGAATTCCAGGGAGAAATAAGGCTAATTAAGTAATATTTTAACCTCTTTCTAATGATTGAGTTCCATTTCTTGTAAGTTTTAAGCTTTATCAAATAATGTTCTGTATAAGTTAATATTTCTGGGTGATCTTAGAACAGGACTGTCTTATGTATCTATATCTTAGGATGTGTGAACTTGCTTGATAAGTCATAAAAGTCATGTCCCATTTCTTTGCTACCCAAACTACTTTTCTGTTTCTTCTCATATCTCTTTTTAGGAGAGAGACAGATTTGAATTTTGGATCACATGATGAATAATAACTTTTAATTAATTGATTTATTTTTTCAACACCAAATAAAACTGGACAATGGACCAGGAGAATTGCACAAGAGTGTCAGAGTTCATTCTCCTGGGATTATCAGACATCCCAGAGCTGAGAGTCTTCCTTTTCATGTTGTTTCTTCTAATCTATGGAGTCACAGTGTTGGGAAATCTGGGTATGATTACAGTGATTCAGGTCAGCTCTCAGCTACACACTCCCATGTACTTTTTCCTCAGTCACTTGTCCTTTGTGGATTTCTGCTACTCCACCACTATTGTGCCCAAGATGCTGGACAACATCTTAAACGAGAACAAAGCCATTTCTTTCCTGGAATGCATGGTGCAATTCTATTTGTTTTGTTTTTATGCAATCACTGAGGTCTTCCTGCTGGCCGTGATGGCCTATGACCGCTTTGTGGCCATCTGCAACCCTCTTCTATATATGGTCATCATGTCCCAAAAACTCTGTGTAGGGCTGGTGTCTGGCTGCTACCTATGTGGAACTGTGTGTTCTCTGATTCACATATGTTTACTTTTTGAAATCCCATCCTATCATTCAAATGTGATTAACCACTTCCTATGTGATCTGCATCCTATCTTATCTCTTGCGTGTTCTGATGTCTCTTTGAATGAACTGCTAGTGTACATTGTGGCCACATTCAATGAGATCAGCACCATTGTGGCTATCCTCACCTCATACTTGTTTATTCTCATCACCATCCTGAGGATGCGCTCTGCAGAGGGAAGGCAAAAAGCCTTTTCCACCTGTGCCTCCCACTTCACAGCCATTATTGTCTTCCATGGAACAATTCTTTTCAATTACTGTCGGCCCAACTCTGGCAACAGTCCAGACACAGACAAGGTAGCCGCAGTGTTCTACACTGTGGTGATTCCCATGCTGAACCCCCTGATTTACAGCTTGAGAAACAAGGACGTGAAAGCTGCTCTCAGGAAAATGATGGGCCTCAAAATATTTGTTTAGAGGAAAGTTTCTAAGCAGGACTCATGGTTTTATAGTGGACAGTTTGGAAGGGTGGGTAAGTAAGAGGGCTACAGTGTTAGATTAGAAAACTTTGTAAGGAAAAAGGTGGTTTTGAATTGTTCTTGAGTCACACATCTCTGCTTTTCCAGTTAATAAATGGATTGGTACATGAATACATGAATATTAAAAAAGAAAAAAAAAGCACATTTATCTGTTTTTCTTCAATATATTAATATTTTAAGTAGATATTTGAATCGTACCCTTAAAGAAGAGACATTTAATTTGCTGTAAAACTTAAAAAAAAAAATGTATTGAAAAATTCATGACAATCCCTTTTGTATCTTTAGTAGAAACTATGATTCTCTTCAAAACTGAGTCCTGATTGTATTGTTGTAGTTTCATAATATTAATAATCATTTCATAGGATTCTTAGGGAAACTAAATTACATATAAACAAAGAAATAGTAGTACTGTGATGGCTTGTATATTACTGTGATAGAAATTATTCTACCAGTAATTATACCAGCAGGGTAATTCATCACAGACAGGTTTTAATAATGTTTCAAGACCAAGACAGACTAGAAAGAAAGGTCCAGCAATCTATTTCCAAAAATTAGTTTATGAAAATATAATTCACAGCAGAGCAATTTCTGACTTTTTTGTTGTGAACACATCATCAAACCTACTGCCAGCAAGTTGATTTCTATCCATAGTAACTGTATGATGGTGGTGATGTTTATGTGCCATGCAATCTATTCGACTCATAGCAATGCTGTATAGGGTTTCTGAGCCTGTAAAATCTTTATGGGTGAAGAAAGTCTCATCTTTCTCCCTTGCAGTGGCTGGTAAATTCACACTGCTGACATTGCAATTAGCAGCCCAGCAAGGAATCCATTATACTACCAAAGCTCCTTTAGTAACCCTAGAGAACAGAGCATTAGTTCATAGAGCTTTCAAGGTTGCTAATCTTTTCTTTTCTTTTTTCTTTCTTTTTTTTTTTTGCGAATTGAGTGAAAGTTTACAGGGAAGATCATTAGTTTTACATTCAACATATCATACACTTTGTTTCATAACAATGATTATATTCCCCTTGATGTACCATCAGGTAACAGTATTTCTCTCTATTCGCTTTAGCTTTTTTAAAAAAAAAACACTCAGGTGTATATAATAATTTACACAACCAAAGGCCACGTTATGCAAGCCTGCCTTCTGGCCACCATCTCTCAATCCCTCTCTTTCCATATCCCCATATCTATGTCCATTTCTGGTGTCCTTACTTCTCCTCTGGATAAAGTCCTGCATTCCGCTGTGCTCTTCTCCCTTGATATTACTAGGGTCCTCGGACGGTTTCTAGACTGTAAGATTAGCGACTCCCTAGTTTTTGTTACAAAACTTCTACCTTTACAATTGTGACAATCTCAGTAAGTCATGATAACAATTATTCACTATTGAATCATAAGAATCTTATCCCCATTTCTTTTTATCAGACCCATCTAGACAAGATGAGAGGTATTCATTGGGGACTCCATCTTCCCCCACACACTGTTTATTTATTTATTTATTTATTATTATTAAATAAGTCCTTATTGTGAATTGAGTGATAGTTTATGGGAAGGTTGTTCCTCTTTATGGAAACTGAATGTTACATGAAGTATCTGGTGGGTTTGGATCACTGACATTTTGGTTGACAGCCAAGCATATTTAGCACAATAATACTAGGGTTCCTAAACACATCCTCATGTGGTACGGTTTGCTATTGAGACTACTGAACAGTGTAAATATGAAATAACATAAATATGGTTTAAGGAAACATAAGTGATACTACAGAAGATAATCCAGAATGTTGTGTAATTGTGAATTGTTAAAGGGATGCCAAGTCTGTATGACTTAATGAAAATTATAGGACAAATCAGAATTGAAGATAAGAACCTGTTGTGATTGCAACAATATCTCTGCATATAGGGCATTTATGTGTTGGCAAATAAGTTTAGAATTCCTCATAATACTGTTTCTAGTCAGAGTAGCTATTTGTGGAGATGTTGGGATATCAAATGTCCAACTTGGTTGTCCCATAATAAATATATGTGAAGAGATGCTCTGTAGCTATGGCATGAGCATAATCAAGTGGCCAGGGACCTGAATGCAGCATCTCCCACGTTCCCTCTATTTTTTTGTTAAGAAATGTTGAGTTCGTTCTGACCTACAATGACTCTCATTTGGGATTTCAAGGAGCAGCTAGTGAGTTTGAACCACTGAATCTTACTGCTAGCAGTGCAGTACTTATCCTATAATCCCATACCAGTGACATGCAAAACACGTCAGAAAAATATGTTCAGTACATATAAAAGTAACTACTGCTTTAATCTTAGGTTGTTGTTTTAAAGTGTCCTGGAGTTGCTTCCAAACCATAGCAACCATATATAGGGTTTTCTGAGAAGTGGCTGATTAGCTTGAACAACTCATAGCATATAACTATTTTTGAGGCAGACAGAAAGATCAGGAATACAAGGACATGACTTCTAAGCTTTTAGTTAAGTGTTTAAAGTAGTTCCAAAGCTGCTGCTATTTCACCTTATGTTTTCTAAGAAACCAAAATTTCTTTAGAAAACAGTAGTTAATTTTAATTGCTTATCTTCAGGCCTCTGGAGAATAACATTTCTCGACTCCTGGTATCACGGGGAATGGGACTATATACAAGAATAATAGTATTTCCTCTAAATAAGCTCTCCAGAGGCAGAAGGGTGATTTCAACATATGATTTATTTTCAGAACTTGAGAAAAATGTGGATATTCCTTCCTTATAAGGTATCTTAGGTTCAGAGTTCTTAAGGATCATTAATTTAGGAAAATTTCTAGTCATAGCAAACATTTCATATCTGCATTTTTTCAGTGACCAGGTAGTTTAGTCTTTCTACACAGCTTTGAGCAGAGAACCTGGCTTAGATAGGTACATCAACAGAGTTGTCTTTAACCACTATTGATAGTTTTCAGGAGTGTATTTCTACCAGTTTCTGTGAATCCTTGTAAGAATTGTATAAGTGAGAATATGTATCTATTTATATAACATTGAATTTTTGTTGTTAAGTGCCATCGAGTTGGTTCCAACCCATAGCGAACCTGTATAGTGCTTCTGAGGAGTGGCTGGTGATTTTGAATTGTTGACATTGTGATTAAAACCAACCTTGTGGTTCACTGAATTATCAAAAAAAAAAAAGCATAAAGGAGGAAAATGATCCTCAGGGGGCAAACAACAACAAAATAAACAGTAACAGGTCTAAATAAGATTTGAGAGCATGGGAAATAAGCTGCCTCGTGTGGATTATTACAACAAGCAAAGAAGAAACAATTGCATGAAAGATTTTCAACATGACATTTTCAGCATTCAAAGATAATTCTTAGTTTTTAGACCATATAACAACATAATTCGAAAGAAAAGGAAAAATGCAATTAAAAACAGATATTAACTTTAAGTCAAATTCAAACAGCAAAAGCATTGTAATCTATCAGTATGTAAGAAACAAGCACTTAGTCTCAATAGGAGTCAGTTTGTACTTCCACAAGGAGGACATTTGACAACATCTGGAGATAGTTTTGATTGCAAAGACTGAGAGATGTAGATAATATGAGAAATAACCAGGGGTGCTATTAACAGCACACAATGAACATTATAGCTCCCTGTAACATTTTGCCAGCACAAAATAGGCTATTATGAATGTATTTGAGATTATCAAGAGTTTGGCAGATAGGGTAGAGGTGCAGTGAAGATCTCTGTTAGCAATATCACAGAATACCAGGCGAAGTGGGTTCAGGAGAGAGCTCCAAAACTCTGAACCACATATATATAGTTGTTGTTGTTGTTGCTAAGTGCCATTGAGTTGGTTCCGACACCTAGCGATGTTGTATAGGGTTTCTGAGGAGCAACTGGTGAGCTTGAACCACAAACCTTGCAGTTCAAATGGCTTTGAAGTCTGGTGCATTAACCCACAGCACCACACCAGGACTCTGAACTACATATATAGGAATATTTTAAATGTTTGAATGCTTATAGCTCATGGAACTTGAACCAGAAGTAAGAAATCTCATACTTTAGAATCTGACAGGCTCAGTGGCATAGAGATGATAACTTGGGCAAGACCAAGTGGCAAGACCAAG